GAGAATTGTACAGACACATTAACTTGCCTGTAAACCATACACTACGTTGTACGTTGTACAAACTCCGTTCCTGGTACATCAAAAAAAACTTGCCTGTAAACCATACACTACGTTGTACGTTGTACAAACTCCGTTCCTGGTACATCAAAAAAAACTTGCCTAAATCGTAACTCTGCATAATACTCTAATCTACATCAATCAAAACTTGCTTAAATCGTAACTTTGCATAACTGTAACTGCCGCATAAACCACCCCCCTTTATAGAAGACTCCCTTTCTAGCGGCAGTTTACGTTATGTAAATGTGAATATTACTTTAAAAAATATTCAGTATAACTTATGTGATATGCAAATAAAGCATAATGAGTAAATATATATTATATATAATATAAAAAAAATTGTTGAAAGAAATTTATTATATTCGTAAATTGAAATAAAAAGACACCCTCTTGACACGTACCCTCATAAATTTCAACAGTTGATCGTATTTTTTTTCTTTTAGAGTTATTCTTTTTTCTAATAATAATAATAAACCATCCATTTCTTAAGAAAAAAATTCTCGTTTAGAAATATATAAACATAAAATCTAAAACTTAACCATTTGCTTGTTCATAAAACTTCTTCAATAAGTTCTACTACAATCATTAGTCTTCAATTTATTACTATATTAATAAACATTTAGTTAAGATTATATTAAGTTTTTTTACTATTAATCTTGTATTTTTGCACTATTTTTATTCGCATAAAGTATTTTAATCGATGTTATCTCGGAGACCGTGTAATTATGCTACTATAGCATGTATTAATTGTCGAAAGAAGCATAAAAAATGTTCAGGGACTGTTACTTGTTCCAATTGTGCAAAACATGATCTTAAATGTATTTTCATTAACTCGGGCAAAAAACGTGGTCCAAAACCCAAGTCTAAGATGTGCACTAATCCACATAATCCGTATGTACGTGATCATAGACGTGGAATACAGTTTTCTACAGACTACATGCAGGCTCACTCGCATGCACAAAATATTTATATTACATCATCAGATAATTTAAATCAAGAATTTAGAACGTTACAGTCTAATAGTTATGATGCTATTACTCAAGAAACATTCTTCTCTCCTCAATCAGATTTAAATTTTGACTATACTGAATTTATAAATAATCAAGATACCACGAACATTAATTCTATCGATAACACGTCACTTTTATCCTATAATAATTTTTTATTCCCTAAAAATAATCGTGTGGCAGAATCATTTCTTTCTACTGGCTCTCTTAATTCAGACGATTATTATGTTCATGATCAATGCAATGGAATGCAGCTATTCTATATAGACTCTATACAAAATAATTCTCCTGCACAAAACATTCATGTCATATCATCGGAATATTTTAATAATTCGAATCAAAATCAACAACATCATAATGATGATAATGCTGATGCTATTATCCAAGAAACATTCCTTCCTTCTCGAGCTGCTATAGGTAATCAGTATGCCACACACAATAATTTTATTGATAGCACGCAACTTTT